CGATACCCTCTCAGCACACAATCACCTCCTAATAATCTAACGGCGTCTCAGCGTCGCCGTTACACCAACCGCACCACCACGTCGTCGCCGTCAATACCAGAACACGCTGCCACAAATGTCCCTCACAGTCAAGGCAACCCGGGCAGCCTCACGCACCACTGTCGTTAATGCTGCCACCAATCACCACTAGCGTCACCGCGACACCATCACCAACGTCAACGTGTTGCCGCCTCGTTATGCGGACAGCATAACGCCAACACTAACTCAAAAAGAACACGCCGCCACTTCGACGACACTTCCCCTGTGTCAATACCTCCCCACCGCAAAAAACGGGCAGCGCTTCCGCGCCACCACCTAGAACGCACTGCTGCCGCCGCAAAAAATGGGCAGCACTTCCTCTTTGCACCTCACCACACTCGGCTGCCGTCGCCGCAAAAAATGGGCAACGCTTCCGCGCCATTGCCAAAAAGTGTCGTCGTTGCCGTGCCGAGCGGACAACACCCCCCTTGCGTTTCACCAAGTGCAGCGGCAGCTATGGCTACCCTCACTCCCGCGCTCTTTGCAGACCTCCAACGCTTCTCTTTCTTCCCCTCGCTGAGATGGCGGTTACGGCTGTGTTTCACAGCTATGGCCACCTCCAGCAGTCCTCCCCTCTCTCGTGCAGACCTCCACCAACTCCTCACTCCACCAACAACTTCTCCTCCAACAACCAGCATTCACCCAAGCGAAATGCTAGCAGCACTAGCCACAAATGAATGTTGGCTGGCTGGCTGCTGGCTGTTTTATAACAGGCTGGAGGCTGAGGGCAGCTGCTTTGCCTCCAGCCAAAATTCGGAGTGAGGCTTGACCCTTGATCTCAAACGCAATCAAGGGCTGAGAAACTTGATGTTCCCCTAGGGGACCAAGTTCCAGGCCTTGGTAATGCATCTGGCCGCTACCGGCCAAAATCCTGCTATACCCATAAGGCCACGAACTGGGGTAGACATGCTTATACTCCTTTCAGGCAACTAACTTGTATACATATTCTAGAAAGAAACGGCTATGGCGAAATTGGTTTACGCACCACACTTAGGATGTGGCGGCGCTTCGCGCCTTGTGGGTTCGAGTCCCGCTAGCCGTACACTAGAAACGAAGAGTGATATGTATGGTAGCCTTAAATGGCTGTATAGGGCCAAATAGAGCAGACTCTTGAAGTTCAACAGTCTGTTGTCAACTCCGAGTACAGTCTGCTGTCAACTCAGAGTCCAGATGCTTCTACCCCTGCATCTGGCCTTGCGTCGCGATTAGATTCGTGACGTTTTATGTTTTTTTTTTTCTTTTTTTTTTTTTTCCATCTCTCCTCCCCTCTTTCCTTGTTTTCTTTTCTAAAGGGGCAACCTTTCTTTCCCCTGGGCGTAGCAGCTTGTTTCCCCCTAAAAACGAGCAGTCATGCTCCCCCGTTCATTTCACAGAGTCGAATTAGGAGGGTCTTCTCCCCCCCCCCCTTCTTTTGCTGCAGCTCACGTCCGCATCCGGCCATCAAACATGCCAGGTTCAGGCACTCATCTGCAGCCCGTTCAGCAAAATGAACGGGTGCAGGTGAGCTACCAATGACTTAGGGGAGGGGGAACCAATGGCTGCCAGGTAAGGTCCCTCGTTCCCTCACACACATACACAAACCCCTATAAGTGCAGTAGTGTATAGTCCCATGTTATAGTAGTAAATTCGTTCATTTTTTTTTTATTTTTTTTTTCCTGTAGATAGCTGTCCCAACCCGTTCGTCGAAACGAACGGGTACTCTAGGAAAATCAGGAATAAGAAACAAAAAAGAAATATAAAAGCATTTTAAAAAACTAAAAAGAAATCTAAATAAGGAAAATCTAGAACGAATCTAAAGAATAATTCAAAAAAAAATCTAAAAAAGAAGAAAACAAAAAAAACTTACATTGCTTGTCAAAACAGTCGCCCGTTTTCACAGGCGCTGTCACATCCACTGGGGACTAAAGTGCCCCAGGCACTTCGTTATGCGCCATGTGGCATTTCACTTAGTCTAGTTTTGATTTTTTTTTATTTTTTTTTTTCCGTTTATCCCGTTGGTCCTGCCAACGGTCACTTCACGTTCGTGGATCACCTACGAACTTTCGAAACACAGGCCCGAGTTCGAATCACGGCCAGACCCGACCGCGCTGGCAGCGTTTGGAGTGGGCTGCTCCAAAAGGAGCTAGCCCGGTGGCGAGTGCAGTTCGATCCCGGTATCTGCTGGGTGAGAGTCTGGCACTGTAACCTACTGGGCTAGATCCTATCAAGATAGTGATAGGAGCAGCCATCCCCCCTGCCGGGGCCTTACAGGCCCTACATGCCTATGGCCTTGCAGACTCTGCTTGCCTGCGGCCTTGCAGGCCCTGCCTGCGTGTGGACCTGCAGGCCTCGCCTGTCTGCCTGCTTGCCGCTTTCCCATGGATGGTTGCCCATCTATAGCTCCAGGGTCACCCAACGGGTAAACATCGGCATTGGCCTGTTGGCCTCCCTTGGCTCGAGGTCAACCCTCGCAACCCGGGGAAAAAAAAAAAAAAAAAAAAAAAAAAAAAAAAAAAAAAAAAAAACCTTCATATTCCTTCCGCGCCGCGGCCCAACACCTGCGCAGCCACCTCTTTTTAACCTACTTTGGCCCTGAATCGCGCGGCTGCTAGATAGGGTAAGTTTGGCTTCAACATCCTCATGATCGAGTGCCTCCGCGGCCTTGTCAGACACTGCGGATGACAGGTCGTACCACCGACTCCCGCTATTTTAATCAGACGTCAACGACGTCAGGTTCTAAAAAAAAATTAAGTCTCTCGGTCGTAGGGTTGGTCTCAATAAACTTTGGCAACATCAACCTCGTCAAGTCTCCCAATCCAACAAAAAGAGTCGGAAAGCATCTGACCTTGAAAAACTCGGGCAGAAACCCTCACAAGGGTTTCTGTCCCGACAGCGGGTCTTCAGCGTGATCACCTGGAGTTCGTCACGCACTGGCCTAGACATGGCCAGGTACTCGAGTACCGAGCACTGCATAGATTGCCTAAGTGCACGCCTAAGAGTCTCAACCGTGTCGATATCATCTAAAGAACTCCTCATTGTGAACTTCTTTGCTCTGCATTTCCGCGGCGAAAGCATGACCTATTCCCCTTCGATCATCTGACCATCCTTCTCAGCCATCACATAGTCGGTATCTGTCTTCCTCAAAGAAGACCCTCTCGCAGACTTGGTTGCCACAACTCGAATAGGCGTAGTCGGTGACTCCTCATCAGAGGATAGTGTCATTCTCACACTCCGACTCTTCGCCGCTTATTTTCCCTTACTCGGTCGCACACGCCTGGCCTCAACGTTCTCCTTCATCGAAGGGAACATCGATACGTCGCCCAGGTCATCCGCCCACTTGACGTACTTATGCTCGTCAAGTACAACAAGTCCCTCGTCTATAGCACGCCTGAGGTCTGGACAATCTCTCTTTACATGGTCATCAGACCTACAATAAATGCAGGAGTTTCTAGGAGTAGGCCTGTCCTCCACGCCCCCAACAGTCTATCCTCTAGTAACTCGGGTGTCCTGATTTTGAGGACCAGGTGACTTAGGGTACCCAGGTGATTTAGGATAACCAGGCCCACTACGCTCGTAGTGTCCGTGAGAATCATCTCGGCGATTTCCTCCTCGCTCCATTCTCCCATACCCGCCACGGTACCCATCTCGACGATCCCCATCCGAGTCCCTTCGGCCACGAGAATCATCTCGATCTCTTTGGCCGAAGTTGCCAGGACTTCGGTATCCATCCGTGGTGCGGTCATATCTAGGACTACGCGGATACTACTCTAACCGCCCCCCTCTGCTAAAGGCGTCAGCATCACGAAAACGGTCACCGCGATGGTCCCTATCAATCTCTTCATCCCTGGGGTGCCAAGGATCATCGTTTCTCTCTCTCACATGATAGTCTGCGAGTGTGCGGGGGTTTCTATCCTCCATGCTCCGCCAGGGGTCGGTGTTTCTGCGGTTCCATCGCAATGAATATGGGGAGCCTGGCTTGTCCCTGTAGGTCGTTGCTCCCGTCTTCGTCTCGATATTAGTCATTTGCCTGGCTAGCCCCTTCATCATTTCCCTCATTTCTCTCATCTCATCTATCACCGTCTCTCTATCCCTAGGTCGCTACGGTCGAACTTCGTCTAGCAAATATCGTCGATCCTCGATAGAGAGAGAAGTCCCGGCGTCGAATCCCTCTCCAAACTAGGTCCTTATAATCATCCGCTTCGGCTTTCATAGGCAACTTGAGCACCGCCGTAAAAATTAATTTGTCATGAGGGAGTTCTCTAAGTATCCCTTTTTGTTTTCCTCTAGGCAGTCGACTTATGAAGATCGTGCATCGGTCGACTTCTGACAGTTTCCCCTTCGCGATCAAGGCATCTGATATCTTTTTGAATTGTTTACCAAACGCCCGCACGCTCTCATCCTCACCCTGTGGCATTGACTCCATATCCCTAATCGAGTACCTGATGTCCTCTAGCTTGAAGAGCTCGTAAAGACTAGCCTTATAGGTAGTCCATTTCTTGTCCTTTGGTCGTGCTTCGTTGATTACCTGGCTCAAACTCGGGTCCGAGTTAAACAAAAAATTGTCTATTTACCCTGTCCTCCAACCACTGGCTGCGGTATGCATGCAACTCCCACTTCTCGAGGTACTCAGTGATACCATAACCTCTAAAAATGGCCAGTCTGGTATCTAACTCCGTCGGTTGGTGTGAGATGATGTATCGATCCCTCCTCTCGTAAGGGAGCATATACGACTGGCCTATCTGCGGATCATAGATCCGTTGGCGTGGCATGCTCCTCTTAGGAGGTCCATCTCTATCCCTCCACACCTACTCCCGGACATATTGGTCTCTCCAATCATCCCGGCGTCTATCTCCTCCGGTGTCTGTTCGCTCGTATGTAGGCGAGCGTCGAGTGAACATCTCTCGTCGGAAACTAGGACGCTCTGTCATATTCTCCATTCATACCATCGTGGCCCTATCAGGTTCGGCGATGATCGGGCCACCCATCACTTCGGGCTCCCCATCGTCAGGTTGCTCTACGCATCTCAGCGGAGCATTCTGTCGGATGCGTTCCTTAAGGTCTCGTAGAGCATGATCTCGTGACGCTCGGTATACGCTCGTCTGCTGGTCCATACTCGGATGCGGACCCATCGTGTTTGACTCCATGCACTCTAACTGGCAGCCCGGACCTAATGTCGGAACCAAAAGCCCGGAACTAATGTCGGAACCGGCAGCCTGGACCTAATGTCATAACCGACAGCCCGAACCTAATGTCAGAACTGGCAACCCGAACCAACTTTAGATCGCAGTTTTCTATCTCCCTACTTACTAAGTTGACTTTGCACAACGGTCTTCTAACGTGAACCCTAGTCCTTCACGGCTCTCACAATAACTCTAAGTCTTCCGCTCTCTTCTCGGATTTCGTGCTCGCCTTCTATCCCCAAAAAACTAGTATCGAGGTAGAGTTCTCCTTCCTGTTCTGCTACACGTGCAGCGCCTCTTCTTATCTCTACTACCCCTGTCTCAGGGCGCCTCATACTCCTACAAATCGAAGTACCTAATGCACGTATGTCCTCGCGAGCCCAAATCCTCAAAATTCGACGCAAGTCAATCGACACTCTTCTGCCCAGCTCGCCCAATCCTTTTCGAATCGCGTTACTCCCAACTAGCAGATACTCACCTCCTCTTTACCTGACATCGCAGAACAAGGTCGACTACAATTTTTCAGTTCCCCATTCCATTACCTGACAAGGCGTCGGCGGTGTGGGAAGTCCTTCGAAGGTTGTTATCCGGGTGTCCCAGACAACGCTCTTCCCTAGCGATAGCAATCTATCTTTCTCTTCCTCGACCACTTCCTCTGCTCTCTCCCAGCATCGACCGTAAACAAGATCAACCCTCCTTTTTATCGGCAAGTAAATCCGTACATCGCACACGTCAGTATCGATGAAACTGACGCTCATCACGTAGAGACGAATTTCCTCTCATCCATAGTCCACCAATTCGTACTTCTCTACCTCGTACGGAATTATCTCCCTCCTTCCTAATGAACTCAAGTACAAACCGCCTTAAACCTTGCTTCTGAGGGCTTATTCCCGACAAGAAATCTTTCCTTCCTGGCCTCTAACTCCTCATCTGAGATCACCTTCTCCGCACTCATCCTCTACCGGCTCCTAACACCGAGTTCCATCTGGTTTCAAAGCATCTTCCTATGACGATCTCCCGTCCTGACCGTCCTAGCAAAGTCTACAATCGCCTCCCATCCATTTCGCTCAAGTTCCCCTCCTGGGACCAGTGGCCTAGGCAGAACATCGAAAGTCGAGACGTCGTCACTCGTCTCGACGAGCTCTCCTAATTTTTCTAATCTCTTCTTCTCGTCCCTAAGCTTCCAAGATGTTATCCTCCAACACCTCGAGTATGTGCAGAACTCCGCTTTCTCTTTCGACAGGTATATACCAACGTGGTGTATACCCGAATCAAGATAGCGTATTGCCATAACATAAAAAATGATTCCCTTCCCATCCACTGTCTGCCACCTGGTACCTAACCACTTCGTATGGAAAGATTTCTTTCCTGCTGATCTTACTCAGACTCCGCTCAACTTTCTCGCTCTCGTGTTCACGTGGTCAGCTCCATCTCCCAAACTTTCTTCTTCTTCGTGCTAATTCCTCTTCCGATATCTTCCTACTCATCGCTTCCCATTGTCGATCCTATTTTTTTAATCTCACCTAACATTCTTCCGCCGACAACTCAAGGGCAACTAGCATCCTTACCATCTTTGCCTTTAGAATGAGGAAAAATGCCTTAAAGTCGTCGTCATCGCCAAACTCGTCTATGTCTTCCAGCGTCTTTGTGATCTCTCAGCGGTATCGAGTGTGCGTGTCAAATGTCCGGAGGACCGCCCCCTCGACAATAACTCTTGCTAACTCTCCTGCATCCCTAGCTTGCTTCTTTAAGACCCTTTCTGCCTTGCTCGGAGTTTCATGGCATGATCGAACCGAGGACCCTCTGTCGAACAATGACGTGCATAGTACGTACCTGATTAACTGACCGTCTTCGACTCCTACCCGGAGTGCAGTCCCTCGCACGTCCCTCAACGCTTTCCGCGTACACTCTGCTTCCTCGATCACTCTCAATCTTGCTAGGTGATCCACCTGTATCACCGCGTAGACCACCAGTCCTTCTATCTTCCCCACCACGTGTATGAAGTACTTGTCGTTACTATACTGACACATACTCATCGTCTTCAATCATCATTCTGTCGTCTCCTCCGTGTTTTTTCCTTCCTCGTGCTCTATGGTTCTGGACGATTCTTTCGACCGCTCTGTGGTTTATGACGATTGTTCTAACTCCATTTGTCGATGGTCCCTCGCTTTAACGCTCTCTAGAAACTCAAGCCTCCATCTCGTAATAGATTCTCTGTCTTTTCTAAAGACACTCTCCTGAATAACTTTTCCTTGCTCTCGCAGATCCCGTACTCTCGTACATTCCTGCGCAATTTCTTAACTCGCTTTAACACCAACACTATAATCTGCTCCTTCACTCTCTTCACTCGCTCGTCTCTCATACTCGGCTCCTCATCTTTTGCTGACTCCGCAGGTCTCCTCACATCCTAGCTCGCGCTTTAGCTGGCGTTTCGTCTTGAACAATCTCGACTCGTATATCTCCTCTCACACAGACGATCACCACCTCATAGATCATCCATTTATCCGTCGTGACCCCTCTTAGCGGTCCTAATCTTTGCTATCGTATGACGTCCTTAGCGACCTCCCCATACTCACTATCCGTCAGGTCCTCATCTAGGCTTACCCTCAAAAGGACCTGCAGTGTCACGTCATTGCGTGCTGAGCGTCTCGAAACCGTACGTCGCGAGGAAAACGGGTGTCGTTCGTCACTGGGAAGTCGGCGCCTTATCACTACTTCTTGCGCGTTCACACGAGGATTTTTATCATTTATACTCCTTTATGACTCCGAACCTCGGTGTTCTCATCGCAAAGAGTACGGTATTCGTCGTCTATGTCCGTACAATAAAGGCTCTTGCTGTGTCATGCCAACCCAGAGTACCGTGTGTGGGTAAAATAATGTTGTATTGATTTCTCTGCAGCAGAATATCCGCTTGTGTGTGAGAGATAGTTACTCAAGGATTGTTAAGGAATCTTTAAATTCTCAATGAGAGAGAAGTCAAATTCAATGAACTTACTTAAGGATTGTTAAGGAATCTTTAAATTCTCAACGAGAGAGAAGTCAAATTCAATGAACTTACTTCTCTGGACTGCCCGTTGTCCCACAGGGAATTGAGTGAATTTTTCTCTATGCTAAAAACAATTTCACTTGTACCGCCTCTTGTCTTATACCTCTGAGTATTGACTTTACTATTGAGAAATAGAGTACTTCATGCTGAGGTTCGCTATATCAAAAAGTTTTTTCTTATTAGCAAGTGTTATTTATACAGTAAGTAGTATAGCCTATCTTTTTATTCAATAAAATAAAATTAAAAAAACTATTTTCATAAGAACAAGCATTCATTCCTATGTATGACATTTTTTTCAAGATCTTTGTCATGGTTCCCTTGTCTCACCATGCATGCACACTCCCTGTCTACGAGAATCTACTCTGAATGCAACTCACTGATATCCCACTACTAATCCTCCTATTGCTATTACTAATACAGACTGGCACAGCTATGGCTTCTCCTACAGCCAGCGCCCAACTTCCCTTCCTTCTGGCGCAACTCTCTTTCAGCCAGCGCTCCTCCCGGCAGTATAGCGCACAAGTGCCTCAACACTTCCACGCATTAATGCCAATGGGGCATCTGCCTTGTGGGGAGGCTGCCTCGTTCTTTATAGTGCTGGCCTCCCCTTGCGAGGTCTGAATTCAGTCTGTCTTGGGTCCTTTTCCAATTCTAGCCTCTGTGGAGTGTGTCCCTGACCCTTATCCCCAGGGGTCACTGCTGCTGCGGCCTGCAGGCCTTAATTTCGAACTTTCAGTCTGTATCTAGACTCTCCTTTTGACTTAAATCTTGACTGGGACTTTATCTTTTTTACTTCCTTTGAATAGGCACACCTACTGCTCGAACAAACACACATACTGCATGAACAGACATGACCTGCACACCCCCTGGATGAACAGATGTGACTCCCACACATTAATATTGCAACTGTTCGTCCAGGGGCACAACTGTGACCTTTGACATTGACTTTTACTTTAGCTAGGATGTGACTTTTGACCCAGAAAACATGCCCTTTGATCTGCTTTCACGAGTTGGGCTCTGGGCGAGTGACCCCACTAAGCTGCACTCGTCAGTCAGGGTCTGAATCGGGTAAAGGCCCTTTTATTCTCGCCGGCCTAGTTTCGAAGTCCTCTGAGAAAACCTTCATCTATCTATAATACTTATTCCTCTTTTACCTCTTTCATAACTAGATACAATATGAGGTGTAGACTCAAGTTTTCTTTTGTGAACCAGCGATCTTCACTTGGGTCCTGATATGCGAATCTGACTTTATATTGTCGCTGGGGTCTGCCTCTACGTCTTGTTTGAAAAGTGCTTTCAGCAACAATCCTATCCACATCATATTTCCCATCCATACTAGGAGGTATCACTGTCTGCGACTTGGAAACAACTCATTTGTCACGCAAGGTAAGAGCTTTGAGGCGTGGAATACTGGATACGTATGCAAATGTAGAGCAATCTCGATCACATAAGAAGGTTCATCCACATCTCCAATCACATCAAAGAACTTGCCAAGGTCCTCTGTAGGCAGGTAGTAACTTCTGAGAGATGTTCTCTTCAGGAACAAACTCTTTAGATTTAACCCATACCAGATCACCTACAACAAATTGAGAAGGTCTTCTGTGCTTATTTGCTTGTTCTATCATCTGATGTTGTGCCTTCACTATATTTTCCTTCACCTTTTCAATATCTTTCTGATACTGTATCGCAAACCCGTTTGGTCCTAGTGGAAGCTTATGTACTTGATCCGGATTCAGGCGATCAATAGGTCTACGTGGTCGCCATCCCAAATGCAGCTCTATCGGAGTCTTGCATATAGACAGGTGAGCATAGTTGTTATAGGCACTAGCAACTTTGGGCAAATATTTGTCCCAGTCAATCTGGTCGGGACGTATGTACATACGCAACGTTTGCTGTAAAATCTTGTTTATTTGCTCAGTCTGGCCGTTTGTCTCAGGGTGTCTACCTGATGACATAATCAACTTGGAACCATAGACGTTCATTAGTTGCTACCATTGTTCACTCGTGAACCGTGAATCTTTGTCACTTACAATCGTTAAGGGATGTCCATAATCCTTCACCCGGTGGTTAAAGAATTCCCGGATTACTAATTTTGTCTTTGCTTCCGCTGGCAAAGCTACGAATACAACATATTTACTAAATCTGTCAATTATGACCATGACTTGCGTCTTTCCATTCCTTCTTTTTACCTTGGTGTCCATAAAGTCAATGGACACAGAGTCTCTTGGACCTGTTGGGATTGGCAAAGGCTTCAGTAGACCAAGGGGAGGTTGAGTGGTGCTCTTATTTCGTTGGCACACTTGACAACCTTGCACATACGCAATGCAATCGGGTTTCATGCGAGGTCAAGTGTAGGAACGCAAAAGATTTGCATAAGTCTTTTTCCATCCAAAATGACATTCGGTGTCGTGACACTCCCCCAAGATCAAACTTTTGATCTCTTCCACATTTGGAATACAAAGCCTATCACGCACATCCGTTCTTTCAAACAGTAGTCCCTGTGTAATATGATAGTTAGGAAACTCGTGAGGCGCTTCTTGTATACTCTTAATCATCGCGTCATAGACAGGATCTGTGGAATACGCACTTTTAATTTTCTCCTACAGATCGGTGCCTATATCTAGATATGTTACAATGGCACCGAAAAAATCAGATCTTTGACTTAGCGCATCCGCAACAACGCTATACTTACCCTTAACTGGCTTTAGCTCGAAATCATACTGATCAATCTCGGCGGTCCACCTAGTCAACTTAGGTGTCATCCGCGCCTGCGTTTTAAGCCAGCGAAGTGTCTCGTGATCCGAGTACATTATGAAGTGGCGTCCTAAGAGATAGTGTCACCAATGATCTAGAGCTTCCTGGAGAGCAAACAGCTCTATTTCATACGTAGAAGCGACAACCTTCTCATTAGGCAGTCGTCGGGACATAAACTCAATAGGCCTGTATCAATTTCCATCAATCTTGTTGGAGTACAGAGCATATCCCGTATTGACTGGCGTCGGTTGTGACGACAAAGGGCAAAGAAGGATCAACAACCTTCAAAACCGGGTAATTAATCAAACATTTCTTTAGGGGTTTAAACGAAGCCGTACAGTCTGAATCCCACTTCCAAATCGTTTTTTTCTTAAGCAATCTGCGAAGGGGCGCGACAGTTATCGTGAAGTGTCTAACGAACTTCCGATAATAGTTGGCTAGCCCAAGAAACGACTGCAACTCAGTCAAAGTGCGGGGGTTAGGCCAATCACGTATTGCTGCAATTTTCGTATCTTCCGGTTTGATTCCATCACCCGTCAAGCACATGCCCTAAATACAAAACTTGACGCTTAGCCCAATCACACTTCTCCGGGTTTAACTTCAATTTTGCCTCACGCAATTTATTTAGCACAAGTTGAAGGTGCTCGCAATGTTCATTCAACTTCTTACTAAAAATCAAAATATCATCAAGATAAAAAATAACAAATTTGTCAAGCCATTCACGAAAAAGCTCATTCATTGTTTTTTGGAAGGTTGCAGGTGCATTAGTAAGACCAAAGGGCAACACAACAAACTCATAGCGCCCGTATCTTGTTCGAAAGGCTGTCTTATATTGGTCTTCTGGCTCTATCTCAAAGACGGACCTCAGATCAATCTTGGGGAAGTACTTGCAACCCTGAACTCTATCCAAAATATCATCAATCCTTGGTAATGGCTCAACATTCTTTACTGTGATTTCATTAAGTCTTCTATAATCTATGCACATGCATACCCCACCATCTTTCTTTGGCACAAAAAGCACCGACGCAACATAGGGCGAGGAGCTAGGTCTTATCCACCCCTTCTCCAACAATTCATCAAGCTGGGTCCGCAGTTCATCCAACTCTTTCGATGACATTCTATAGATAGGCCCTTTAGGAATCTGGCTTCCTGGGATGATCTCAATGCGATGTTTAATAGGTCTCTCAACTACACCGCATGGGGCCTCTGCCACATCTGCGAATTCTTTCAGAATCCTTTCAACTTCTGGGGTTTAGCCTCTTCCTTAACTTCACCCTCTTTAACTGGGCGCACATATACAACAAACACTTGATCATATAGATTATACTTCCTTACATGGCGGGCGAACGCGCGGGCACTCATACAACAATGAGCCAAGCTGCTTTCTTTCCCTGATTCATGAAACAAGTGGATTTTCTTTTTCCCACCTTGCGGACTTGGAAGCCAACACTCATGGTCCCTTAACTTTATATCCGCATCTGCAGCTTCACCCCAATCCATGCCTAAAAGAATGTCAACACGGAGATTATCTTCCACCAAGAGAGTCAGAGAGTGGAGAACGCGTTCCACCTTCCCCTCTGCTTCGAGCCGGAAGTATATCTTGACTCCTTCAACATATCTATCCATTACAGTTATAGTACTATTAGCTAGTTTACTCATTACGGGCTCATCTAACAGTTTAACCTTTAGCCCGAGACGCAACTTCTTCAACCCTTTCTTACTTATATAGTTGCGAGTCAATCCACTATCTCTTACTTTATTCACTTCGAGATCTGCAATTATTAACTGTCCTTTACGTTTCTTCATCTCAATCCAGGCTTGGCGACGAGCGGCCAACTCATCACCCATGCCAACGAGGGATCCACCTAGAGAGGTGCACACACTCACTACCTCTGGATAGTGTACTAGGTGGGGGCTGACTTCCTCTTCAGTTTCTGCCAGCGGAACCTTCGGATGGGAGGATGTCTTTCTTTCTACATCCGAAGTTCCCGTAGAGGCAACTGAGACCTCTACTGGCTGTTCCCTTTTACTACCTTATAATCCGGGCAGTAGGGAACTATGGGGTCGGGGTCACCACACTTAAGGCACTGTCTGACGACTTTTCTTTCTTGCCAGACTTTTTCTGTTGTCCCCAATTTCTTCCAAGGCTCCCCTCAGGCAAACCTGGATGAGGTGGATATGGCCTAACCCAGTTACCATACCAAGTGCCTTTTCCTCTTCCCCAGGTAGAATTGGAACCGCGACCACCTTGCGAGGGACCATTCCCCCTTCCACCCCCGTAGTAGTTTCCTTCACCACTACCCCTCTGGGTGTCGAATCCTCGTCCACCACGGCCGCGACCTCTTCCTCGGCCACGCCCTCTTCCTTGACGCCCTCCCCCGCGGGCTGCGACGGCCGCGTAGTCCCCCTCCCGAACTACCGTGCCATTGGATCCTCCCTCCAGACCATAATCTATTTGGTCATAGGAAAGAGTTTCGACACCTCCTTCTTCAAAGGTCAGAAGGAGGTTGTCTTTCCCAGGTATATTCCTTGAGATTGTGCAGTTCTGCCACTTCTTTCCCGCTTGCAGATCTTTCCAATAATGGTAGTAATTAGCTTCAACCAAGAAGTCAGCATGATCTATAGCGATCTTGCTGAACTTCTGGTACGTCATCCCCTCTTCCTTTGTGCGGGGATAAAGTTGAGTACGGAGAACGTCAGGAAGTGCCCTTGCGAAGTAGTTGAGGATTTGGGTAGGAGTTAGCCCATGTTCTGCGCATTGCAAGAGTTCATCCATCGTTGCCTTGAGTGCAAATGCACTCTTCCATTTCTGATTTGCGATATTTAAAATTAGCATTTTTGTCCGACGAGCCAGATTCTTGTTTTCAAATCGTTCTCTGATAGCTTTAAAGAAGTCTTCAATTCTAGTTTGCTGTGAGTATGCAATCATGGTATCGCAGTTAGCTTCTTTTTGCAACGATATGACGAAGCTCATCGCATCGCCGACCATGCACGAAGTGGCCATAAGAACTCTATCCCAATAAGGTATGCGCTGACCGTATACATATGATTCTACGGCCGCAATCCAATGAAGGACACTCTCCTCCTTCTTGTCAGTGTAGGTCCACAAAACTTTAACCTTTATTTTTCTTACATCAGTGTCTTTAGCTTCCCGCTGCACTCCCTTCCCTTTCTTATCATTTCCCCCATCTCCGTCTCCATCTCCATCTCCTCCTCCTCCGCCGCTGCCTCGGACTATCTTATGAATCACGGCAGGAGTAAAGGTCTGGGTGATGTGATTATCTAATTTTTCAATTTACGATTGTATATGCAGATCCACAGCTTTGGCGGATTTTTGCAGAAAGGTATTCCAAATTCCTTCAAACTCATATTGGTGCGTTTCCACTTTTTGCAAGGTTCGGTTCATTGTTGCTACCTCTTGTTTGGTATGAAGGACTGTTTCTGTCCAAAGGGCAAGCTTCTCGTTGGTTGCAATCTGTTTTTTTTTTTGCGATTGCAACTCTCTCTGCAATCTTGCACCCTCTACTTGCAACCTTTTCCTCTCATCAAGTTTTTGCCGCTTTGCTGCTAACATTTTACTATGCAGCTCTGCACGTTTTTCCTCAAGCATAAGGTCCTTTTCTTTCTGGTCTATAACAGTTGCCAGTCTCGCAATGAACACGTCCCTTTCTTCCTCCGTTTCCTCAATCCTATCGCTGGAATATGCATACTGGTCGTACCAGTCCAGTGGTTTGACATCAAGTTCACCACCTGCTTGACTACTCTCTCCCCTTTCTGTCCGCCGTCTAATGAGTTTTTCACCTCCCTCATCAGTCTCTTCTTCTTCTTCTATGGTATGTCGTTCTTCTTTCAACTCCTCTAGTTTTTCTTTCATTTCTTTCTTCATTTTTTCTTCTTTCATTTGCACTTTCTTCTTTATCTCTTCTTCCTTCTGTCTTATCCTCTCTTCTTTTTATTTCTTCTTTTCGGCCAGGCGGCGATCTACTTCAGCCTGCTCTGCAGCCCGATAGCCCAGGCTTCACAACACCTGATTCTGGTTATCATACGAGAGGTACATATTCTCCCGAAGCCCAGGGGAAAGAAAACTCTGAACAAGGAGCCCATCAGAACAGAAAGGGCCAACAACCCTTGCATATGGTAGTCGTCCATGATGGAACTCAACACAAGTAACCCTCCGCTGGTCCCACCAGGTAAGACTCCCACCAATTAACCTTGGTCTAATCTGTCGTGGATGGGATGATAATTTACTCTTTTTTTTTCAGACTTTGGATGTCGCTGCTTCAACAGTAACGCATTTCAGAACTTTCAAAACTTTAATATTCAATAAAATCTTTTTTTGTTGTTGTTGTCTGTCTTCAACTTCAAATAGATACTACACTTGATCTTAGTCAGAAGTCTGCCTGAATTTGTTCTAACTGGTTGTAATTTTTTTCCTTTTTTTCTTTTTTTACTAACCCTATTTGTCTGTTCTCATGCGCAGGGAGAAACTGGAGTGTTTACTATGTCAGATGCCTGGACAACACTTCTATCATAGATTATCTCTGCCCAGTTTGATTGTGCCTTATACCTTGTTTGCAAGCTGACGTGGCAGACCGCCACAACCCCCTAGCGTACTCCTATCTTTACTACAGCACAAATGTCAGACCAGAGGGAAGAAGATAGAATCGAACAAGGACTCTGACCACTCTTACCTCTGACGTGACCAGACCCTTCGATCCTAATCAACCAGGCTGTACACCAGGTGACTCGACCTGACAGCCGCAGCAGCGACCACCAGAGAGGAGAAGTAGAGGTACAACTCACACGCACACATGCAGCCAGGTAAGGGGATGAGGGATTCTTCTCTCTTTTGCAACTGTCGTTGATGAAGTCTCCTCGTCGCTCCGCACTCCAAAGCTCCACGTGAGGTAAGTACTTTTCCTTAGCCCCTTCCTCTTCGGCCTACTCCTCCCTCCTATCCCAGTCCACCTCTCTCCTTACACCTCCGCCATAGCCAGCATCTTCAAGCCAACATGTCTTCCTAACCGGCCTTACTCATGCCAGCGCGTCAGCGAGCGCAATGAGTCATTCTCTGATACCAAATTGCAAAGAACTTCACTGTTCACACTTGCTGGAGTGTATCATTTCGCATGCACAAATGTCAACACACAGATTGAGTAGCTTCACACAAAGCCAAGTCGAGATGAGATGAGAACCAGATAGCGCAACTTATAATATTAAAATCACATTATACAATAGTACCTCGAGCTTAAGAGTTCAGCGCCCACAGAATACAAGTCTCTCCCTCCTTCAATCATACACACAGGGCCTGGCTCAGCCAACGTCTGCCCCATATCACAAGTATGGCGCCAACAGGTAAGTATCCACCATATTCAACGTCATAACATGTCTTCTCTCTCTCTCTCCCTTCTCTCTCAAGATCTTTGTCCTGATTCCCTTGTCTCACCATGCATGCATACTTGTTGTTTACGAGAACCTACTATGAATGCAACTCACTAATATCCCACTACTAATCCTCCGACTGCTATTACTAATACAGACTAGCGCAGCTATGGCTTCTCCTGCAGCCAGCGCCCAGCTTCCCTTCCTTCTGGCGCAGCTCCCTTTCAACCAGCGCTCCTCCCGGCACTATAGCGCAGAAGTGCCTCAGCACTTCCACACATCAATCGCAATGGGGCATCTGCCTTGTGGGGAGGCTGCTTCGTTCTTTATAATGCTGGCCTCCCCTTGCGAGGTCTAAATTCAGTCTGTCTTGGGTCCTTTCCCAGTCCCAACCTCTGTGGAGTGTGTCCAAGACCCTTATCCTCAAGGGTCATTACTGCTGCGGCCTGCAACCCTTAAGTTCGGACTTTCAGTTTGTATCTAGACTCTCCTTTTGACTTTAATCTTGACTAAGACTTTATCTTTTTGACTTCCTTTGAACAGGCACACCTACTGCTCGAACAGACACACATACTGCATGAACAGACATGACCTGCACACCCCCTGGATGAACAGATGTGACTCCCACATCTGAATATTGCAACTGTTCGTCCAGGGGCACAACTGTGATCTTTGACATTGACTTTTACTTTAGCTTGGATGTGACTTTTGAACCAGAGAACATGCCCTTTGATCTGCTTTCATGAGTTGGGCTCTGGGCGAGTGACCCCACTAAGCTGCACTCGCCAGTCAGGGTCTGAATCGGATAAGGGCCCTTTTAATATTATATTTTTTATCCTATTTATTTTGATTATTTTATTTATTATAGAATATAAAATACAATAGAGAAAGACATTTCTCTATTACAAAGGAAAATTATCAATCATCGAATATATATATATATGCTCCTCGTTAATATTAGTTCACTTTTCGTTTTTTTTTTATTTTTTGTAAGTTATCTGTGTTGGTACATATAATTCTGATGAATAAGTTGATGCTTGATAAACTGCTTCCTATTCATTGAAACTTGGTTCTTGTAACATATATTTTTTCTATTATAAAAATACATGAGTTCTCCGCTAGAATCTCGCATTACTTAAATTTTTTGAAGTTCTTCTGGCAAGTCTTTTTCTATGAATCGATTAAAACTTTCTAACTTGATTCTTATAAAATCAGGCAGTATTAGTTCGTTAATACAATACAAAATGAATCTAATCTGTATAAATTATCAATATCATTTTCTTGATGATAGTGATTTCAATCCCGTAAATAAGTTAATGAATTGCAAATTTATTAATTATTTTTATTAACTCTGTCTTTATAAACCATTTTTAATTTTTATCTAAATCTGAATAATGATTCTCATATATCCGGCACAACCTATGATTTGCTTAGGAATTCTTTATGAATTCCAAAAGATATTTTTCGTTACACCCTCTCAAATACTTTTTGTGAGGGTTTTTTTGATAAGAGGTGATTGAGTTGGCTCAATCGCTTTAACGGGCTCTTTAATTGGCCAATTGTGTTTAGTTTCGAATAGAGAAATTCAAGAAAAATTGACATTGAAGTTTATTATCATAATAAATAATTATAGTGGCGATTATTTTTTTTATATAAATATTAAATTAAATAAAATCGACGACAAAAAATAAGAATCTTATTTTTATATAGCGAAACAATAAGCATGTTCATGTGCCATCATATAAATATAATCTAATCGACCAAAATAAGGTCAAGCTTGTAGATAGGTTTTATATTCAATTAATTTTTTTGTACCCCTATGAAGTAAACCAATATGTGGTTTTGCACGTTCTACCACTTCTCCATTCATTTCCAGAACTAATCTTAAAACACCATGAGCAGCTGGAAGATTGAGATCCGAAATTGAAAGTCTAATATTTTATTTGTTTGTTTTACCCGACCGAACAATCAAAATTTTAGGTTTATGATCTACTTCGTTGACTTTATCAAAAAGGGAGAAAACGTAGATATAATCACTCTTTCTCAAATCATTAGTATTAGTTTTTATTCACCTGTGAGCTTACCTGTCAAGAATTCATTATTTTCTAACTTAAACTTCTCAGTTTCTAAATATGGTTGGTTGGTTGCCCATCATGAATATGGTTATTGTTTATTGGATTTCGGGCTCGATTTGGTTGATTATAAAAACTGAAGGCTTTATGTTTTTATATATTTGGGTTCGTGCAGCATTTTCACGATATCGTTATAATTCATTAATGAGACTTCGCCGAGTTGATTGAATTTGTTAAATTTATCCAGGTATATATGAAACCATCTTCTTTTTCATGATTGGTTTATTGAAAGAAAACGCTTTAATTTTGATGAATTTTTCTTTTGTATAACATCTACATACAGATAATGATATTTTATATTGTATATTAATTTTATAAATCTATTTTATTTTGTTCATTGAATATTACATAGAAAATGAATAGATAGAACATAACAATTTCCAAAACCCGGTTAACAACATCCTCCTAATGATTGATTAATAAATACAATAAACGACAAAATCCCAAATCCCAAATCCAAAATAATGTGTTCTTACCAATAAGATTTCAAAATAATAAAAAAGTAAAAGTAACAAAGATGAAAGAAAAAAATCGTTGTTTAATTGTTTGTGCAACACTTATTTGTTCATTGACTAAGTTTAGAACGAATTCATAAATCATTTTAACAAAAGATTACCAAGCATTGGGTACTAAATGACCTCCCTTCATTGTGAGAAAATGAAATAAATGCAAAACCAAACTAATAAAATAAAAGCAAAACCTCCCTTCGGTGGG